TAATGCACCTGCTCATTTGTTATTGCTTTTTCGTTATTTTTTGGCCAACAAAAACAACTTAATCATTCGCCTCAGTCACCGTATCCACCAGATTTGCTGTCCTGCGACTTTTTTCTGTCCCTAAGATCACAGAAACCTATGAAAGACTGACAAGAAAGTATAATTTCGTAAGGGAACTTCTTTGAAGGGGACAAAAGAGAAATTGATGAATAAATAATTTTTTTTGAGAAAAATGAAAATTCACCTTATTTTTCAAAAGACCTTGTACCTGTTCGATTCGTTAATCATATAATGGTTTCACGTCACATTCATCGAACGAATTCAACGAGAGTCGGCCGGGCACATAACTAGTTCATTCTGTCGTCTTTAACTCGATAAACAGAAAGCTACACCGAAGGTTTCATTTTATTATAATGGAAGATTATACTTTCCAGAAATTGGAAAGAGAGTTCTGCGTTTTTGCAGAAAACACCTGATATTTGGGGTACACTCGATGGCAATAATTGATAAATTGATTGTTTCCAATTTTGAGGATGAGCAAGTGGAATGAAGCGAAACAGAGATAAATTGGTATCTATATCCTTCAATAAAATAAAATTCGTTGATAGTTTCATCTTTTCATCAATTTTACTAATGGTATTTCAGCTCCTTCACCAGAATAAAGCATCATCATTTCTAAAATGAATATACATCGTACTGTAAAGTGAAACTTTTAGGGAAGTAACTTTTTGTGAAAAATTCAGAAACACCTGTTTTTGAGAAAAAATCTTCGACACAAAAACCATTGTAAAACCTTTTACCCTGTGTGCCGATGTATTATCCCTTGGTTTTTCAAATGGCAATATGGTCGATTAATAATAATATCCAATTAATATCCATTGGTGGCTGGCCTTTGAAAATCGCTCCGCTCGTTTGAAAAATATGGAACTTCAAACAATACGTTTCCCGTAAAATACAGAAATTGAATACATTTCACTCAACCACCAACCCCTGTATAATGATACAGGTGAGTTTTTCAAATGTCCCCGCAAAAAATATACAGGAATTACTTTGGGTGACCGAAGAGGCCACGGCTTGGTACTATCCAGCAAACCTGAAATTTTTTTTTACTTTGCAGTATCATTCTCCATGATATTAGATACATACTACCTGTGGAGCTCGGAAAAAAAAAATTTAAACGAAATATTTTACTTGAAACACCTAGCAGTGAGAGAGTATATTTTCGAACTCAATTTTTAAATTTCGGATGTTTTTGAGATATTGCGAGCACAAGTTTTGGTAATTCCGTCTCTGAGTTCCCGTACTGTCCCATGTTGCGTAATGTTAGTCATCGATTTGATATAGCTAAAAAAACTTGAGTGGCGTCAAATTCGTTGAATCATATTGGCCATATTGATAGACTGCGCCTTTTTCCTGAATTAAATTATGATATCCTCAGATTTTCCAGTAAATATATGTGTAACGTTAGCGGGGCAGGAATTCAGTATGTTCTCTGCTATTTCATCATTTTCCAAACAAAGGCGACACACAATGTCTTCCGACAGTACGACTTTCTGCATATGCTGATACAGACGACAGTGACCTGTGAGAAGGTCTGTTAGACATCGCAATACATCCCTACTTTAGTCCAGCAACTGTTTGGTATTCAGCTCTGAAGGTTAAATGACCGCTTTGGAGTGAGCCAATCATGAAAAACTCTACCAGAAGTCCATAAATCTTATTGTCTTGCAGGTGTTCAATGTTTGTTTGGTAAGATTCGAAGCAATGCCAATCACAGGTTCTGGTCTGATGAAGCTGCTTGCAGCACCCTTCTTTGTAAGGGAGTCTGCAGCCTCATTGCCTTGGCTCCTACCGTTGCTAGGTAGGAGCCAAGAGCTTCCAACGCCGCCGCTCAACTGTCCGCAGACAATCTCTCTGCACAATTCAATAGCATAGATTTCCGCTCGGGTACCTAGATAAATGGACAGACATCTATTTCCCCATGAGTTTGAGTGTATAATCGGTGATGACCAACTTTGGAGCTGTTTCGATTCTCTTTCGGTTACAAAATTACTAATTACAGTTTTTCCAGTCTCCAACTGATACATCAATTACTCCGCAGCTAGTTTCCCAAATTGAAGAAAAAGTCGTTGTGTAGTGAAATACCTCCCAAGCCAAGAGTCATGATACATATTTTTCTTTGAAAGAAGAGTTGATTGCTCCGTCTCTGCTGCAAGTGATGTCAAGACATTATCTTTTCAACAAAAAGTACTGATAATAATTCTTTTTCATAAAAATTCTGTCCGATTTTGATATTTTGCTCCTTTCAAAATTTACCCCCAAAGTGTGTATAGAATCGAAAACATACAGTGGACTCTAATCCCTTTTCAAAATTTGGAACAACATCCCCAACGCTACGACATTCATGCCTAAACTCGTCCCCTTTGGTTTTTTACGGAACAATCTTTAACTGGAAGTTTCAACCTGGGATACGTTTTCGTTAACTCAATGATGATATCATTTCAGAAAATACAGATTGTATGAATATTTTGAAAGAAGGTCAAAAACTTTTAAAAGTTATTTATTCACAACCTAAATTCCATATTTGCGGATTGTTCATAGACTTCTCCAGAGCTTTCGATTGCGTTAATCATGACCTGCTATTAGGGAAATTGGAATGATATGGTGTAAGAGGAGTTGCCCTAGATTTAATGAAATCCTACCTGGAAAATAGAGGGCAACGTGTCAGTGTTGAAAACACTCTCAGTCAGTTGGCAATCATTAGGCAGGGTGTCCCACAGGGATCAATCCTTGGACCTATACTATTTTTGATATATGCAAATGACCTGATGAAATATTTTCAAGGATTGTCAACTATTCACACAGTAGCGTATGCAGATGACACAAATTTCATAGTGAAGGAAATTGATGTAACGACCCTACAGGAAAGAACCCAGGATGTACATAAACAAGTAAACATATGGGCAGAAAAAAATCACTTAACACTCAATACATCTAAAACTGTGATGATGAAGTTCACAATTAGTAAGTAGCCTGAACATTTTGTTATCCATGAAAATGGGGATCTGCCAATTGAATCTTGTACTTCTACAAAAATGTTAGGCGTCACCGTGGACTACAAACTCACATGGACTCCTCATATTGAGGCCCTCTGTATTAAATTGAGAAAAAAGTGCTATGCTCTGAGATTCATGGCTAATTTTTGTAGTAAAGAGATTTTACTGAGCTTATACTATGCGACCATAAACTGCCACTTGAGATATGGAATTTTGAATTGGGGTACCGGATCTGCTGCTGAAAGAATATTTATTTTGCAAAAAAATGCAGTAAGAATCATTGCCGGTATTGGTTGGAGAGAATCATGTAGAGATGCTTTTAAAAATCTCAAGATACTAACTGTTGCTGGTCTCTATATTTATGAATTGTGTATATACGTTTATAGAAACAAGGATAATACACCTTTCCAGCAACATAATTATCCAACTCGTTCTAGAGACAAACTGATGCCCAATATTCATAGAACAACTCTTTATCAGAAAAGTTTTCTTTATCTTGGACCAAAAATGTTTAATAATTTAGAAGAATCAATTAAAATATCACCAAATCTTAACATTTTTAAATCAAGACTGGAAAAGGCACTTATTGAAAAAAATTGCTACACACTTGACGAATTTTAAACTGTTTTTTTTTTATATTTTAATGACAAAATATCACAACTGTGTGATAAAATTGACTTTCATTTATTTATAGTTATTTTTTTTTTACATAATCTAAGCCAAACAAATAATTATATGTATATACCTATATGTATCATATTTTTAGATTATTGATTACTACAAACATTATACTCTGTAACGTGTCCTACCCTCAGACGTTTTCCTTGTCACTGTACGTGTAACAATGTAATTTTTAACAAGGAAATAATAAAAAATTATTATTATATTATTATTATCTGTTATCACCATCGCAATGTGGTTTCAGGCATGTCTTTAGCACAGATACAGCTCTTGGTACTGTTACACAAAATACTGTTGAGGGAATTGATAAGGGAATGATTAATACTCTGGTTTTACTAGATTTTTGGATAACATTTGGTACATCAATCATGAATTGATTTGCATGAAACTGATTTACTTTGTTTTTGATTGTGCTCTTATTTCTTATCTGGTGTTATTCACTGGGTAGATCTCAAAAAGTATTTGTTTATGATCACTACTCCTTATCTGTTGATACCCTATCTGGAGAACCACGGGGTTCTATTTTAAGACCTTTATTGTTCATCATTTATAATACTGACATTATCTCGTCCATCAATGATTGTAAAATACAGGCTTTTGCTTATGATAAACAGTTATATATGCATTTGAAAATTGATGCTGAGCCACATGCTGAGCCACAAAATCTCTTAAACGCTGATCTAGAGTTGTTCAATTATCTATCAAGTGAACATAATTCGAAAGTTGATCCTGAGGAAACGATGATGATGCATTTCGGATCGCAGAAGAAGCACAAATTTGCAGAAAACAATTTTTACTTAGAACTAGGTCATATTATCTTGACTCCTGTCAATACAGCTATAAACTTAAGGGATAATCACCAATTGATATTTTCATTTATTTTTTTGTCGTGGTACCGTCACCGTTAATTAATTTTTTTGTATTTACCAAAATCTTCTGTAATTTGTTTCCATCATTTACCTTTGTATTGTTTTCTTTATCAATAATGAAGTCCATTTATTATTATTGTATATCTCGTTTTTAACAAACCTCTTCCTTAATTCATCAGATTCAACATAAAATTATATCACATATAATCATTTTAACACAACACAAATTTAGTCAGTGAATTGAAAACTCACACCACTACTTTACGCCTGAAAGCTACAGTGCATATCGGTGATTTCTATCTCATTCAAATATATTCGTGATATAATGTCTCAAATTCATTGATTCATTAAATTATACTCTCTCTCTGATTATTTTTAATCTGATTATCTGCAGGAAAAGCAGTGATAGACTACATCGTAGATTATTTGGAAAACATAAGAGATCGACGAGTGTTCCCAGACAAGAAACCGGGATACATACATGATCAAATACCCGACGCGGCACCAGTCGAAGGGGAGAAGTGGTCAGACATTTTCAAAGACATGGAGTCCATCATCATGCCAGGAGTGACTCACTGGCAGAGCCCCCAAATGCACGCCTACTTTCCTGCCCTGAACAGCTACCCTTCCATGTTGGGTGAAATGTTGACGAATGCGATAAACTGCATCGGATTCACTTGGGTAAGGTCATTCTTATAATACACATAACATTTTCAAATTATCAAACTATCATTAGAAAGTCACAAAATTAGTCCAACAACAAAACCGATCTGACATCAGAAATGCAACGCTATTTTCGACGCGTCTCCTAACAAGAAAGAAGGAACCAAGTTACCGTTATCAGGACTGACTGACTAATTCATAACTTCCGTTAATCAGGGATATCTTTCATTTCTAGTCATACTTCGATGATAAATGAACATGACAAGAAATTTGCTTCTACAGGTACAGTCGAAGTGAACGATATTGTGCACACTTAAAGTTGGCGGCACTCTCAAAAGCCAAAAAAACCAATACATAGAAATGAACCGGCTGCGAACTAGTCCACGTGGACTGTAGAATTGGATAATTTTTACTAACCGAATTTTATGATTGGCTGAAGAGTCATAAAATTATATTTGAAGTCACGTTACGGTGAAGAATTGAAATCAGTGAATGCGGGGATGGTTATTGCCGTCGTGTTCAGTTCAGGGACTGATAGCAATTTGAGTGTTGAAATTCGATATTGGTGCAGTTATAATAACTTGAAAATTTTGTTATCTGTTTAAAATGTGGATTTTTTGGACATTACTGATAGTAATAGTGTGATAACAACGCAGCAGACTTTTTCGAGAGTAGTGATTCCAATGGCGATGGATACCAGTTAATAAGATTCGGATGCATTTGAAAATTGAAACATAGAGAGTATATGTTTCAGTGTATATAAGAAACTATATCTCAAGTTTGGTTTCATGGGAAACAAACTATTACAAGCAACATCAGATTTGATCGAAATGCCTGTACATAAAATTGTCAAAAACAAACTTTATGAATGCAAGATGCGATATGACACAGGATTACCAAAACCTTTAGATGTTCATGAAATGAAATCATTCAAAAAAAAAACAACATACGGCTGTCACAAAAGCAATGAGATTTCTACAACTGAAATCATCAGGCAGAAATTGAACATTTCCGACCATAACGTGAGCTGCTGTGACAAAACGCTTCAGAAAAAAAACTAGGATTTAGATTTGATATGATGAACGTCAAGGAATTATGATAAGCAGAAAAATAGTGGAATTGCGTGACAAATACTTGTAAATAAATAACTAAATATAGAAAAGAACAGCTAACAGCTAATTTCCTATTTGAACGAAACTTGGTATGACACTCACGACACAGTTACGAAAGGGTGGACTGATGGTTCGAAAATGTGTACGCTTAATATGCTTGTACACAAAGGATCGCGATTATCCATTGTGCATTGCGGGGGAAGTAAAGAATGGATTCCGACAGCTCATCAGAGTACCGAATAAAAATTCGAGGAAAAATAAAATACAAAGTTTTTTAATAGATATCAATTTGTATTTTGTAGATAACTATACCAAAAACCAACGAACTTTCACAGACAAACACATTTGAAAAAGTGTATGCCCTTGAGAGTATTGCTGAAAAGTATGGTCACACTATACTGAGTATGGTGTTGATTTGGGGAAAATCGAAACGAAGCACCAGGCGTAAAAATAATTTTTCAAAATATGTTAAGAAGATAATAGCGCTAATTAAAGAAGAAGTATCTAAGATTACCGTAGACGACTGGTAGGTAAAGATTAAAAAAGTAATTTTAGCTGAAAAAGACTATATGGAGATTGAACAGTTCCATATTAATGGTGGAAATGAATTCGTTATTGATTTAAATGACGACAGTGATGGTGAAACAGAGAATATGGAGGAGGAATTATCAGAAACGTGTTAAATGATACTAGACTTTTCTGGTCCGTAAATTCCATAGTTTTCAGTGACCACCTTCTTGTCTTCAGAGTTATTTAACAATTATTGAAGTGAACGAGCAACATAAAAAGCCAACTTTCGAATTAGGTTGTTTGATATTTCATTTTAAAGCATACTTTGGTTCATTTGGTATGAAAATAAGATTGGATGACTCACATAAAAAAATATTCTCTTAAGTTAATTTTTTTCAATAAACTTATTAGTATGATTGGAGCCTTGGAGAATACCCACTGGTTTCAGATATATCGTTGATAACGTCAAAGTTGATTCATTTCTCACCATGTGCAGGTATACGCGGACTCAATTATGATACTACAGTTGAAGGACTTCTTGTACCATTTCGTCGAAATGGTACAAGATCGAGTTCTACTATAGTAATTACTTATATCGATAAAAATAAAAATCTGTCACTAACAATGATTATAATAACTATAATATCAAGGGGAAAAACCCAACCTCATTCTGGTCAGACTAGGAAAATTTTTGTTATGTCTGTGTATAAATATATAGTTAGTTTAGGAATTGATAATAATCAAAATATGTTGATTTCACTTAGACATTGATATACCAGGGTAGTCGCAGAAGTAACCGGCCTGGCCTAGAGATGACGGTAGTTGTTTGAGAAATATCACGGTATTAGAAAGTACACAATATATAAAGCATTTTTGGAAAGAAAGTTTTTGGCTTTCTACTACTACATCTTGATACAGAAAAATGTGGGAATCTTTCGAAGAAAGTAACTCCTAAAAATATAATCCTTCCAAATTGAATATAAAGCTATGTGTCAAGTTTGAAGACGCTGCCTTGTTTAGTATTTGTTTGGCAGCCATCAATAGCGAACGTTGAATTTGTGAAAATAGAGAAAGTTGGTAATTGTTATGTGGTTCAATACTTTCATTTGAAATGCCTCAGCCTAACCAATATGAAAGCTGGACTGGATTCTAGTCTGGATTAGTCTGCTCCTTCGTATACAATATTGTGTAGCAGTACCAGCAATTCACCAGGACAAACACAAGCACTACAGGAAAATCCAGAGCGGTGCCTGTGCGAAGGCAGCGATTCACATTGGATTTGAATCGCTAGGGATTAAATCCATTTGGAAAAACGAACAGTGAAGGTCGAGGTATACTGAGTTGAACCTCAAAGCGATGAGCAGCCACAGACCGTCGCGTATTTCTTATGTATACCCCTCTTGGTGGAATCGAATGTGTCAAGTCACTTGGACACTTTCAGAGTAAAAATATCAATTGAAGAGAGAAAAATCTCCAACCTAGCTTCGATGTTCCAGACTTTCAAGGTTGCATTGATGTTCGCGTCCTCAAACACTTGGATGACTCTTCTCTCGATGGAATCCAGATGGAGCGGAGCTCCATAGGTAAGAACAATAGTCCAAAGAAGGCCTGATCAGAGCTTTATAAAGCATCAAAAGTTGCTGAGGTGTGTAGACTTCTCTGGTTCAGAACAGTGTTCACAACAGTGAGAAGCAGACTTTGCTATTCCAACGTCCATTTTTAACCTTCAACAAACTTATCGAAGCAGAAAGTGGAATCGTCTGACCTGACATTATTATATCCGTTTTGGAGACCTTTATCGTCTTGGAGAAAACCGATGCCTGGGTTTTTGTGACATTGCGCTGTGTCTGGTATAGAGCTGCAAGTAGAATATGTTGAAAAAAAAATGAATTTTCTCCAAAAATTTTGTGTTTTCTTTATTGGGTCAGGTACTTCTGAGACAACCCCATGTAGTGATAACAATAATTAATATAACTATAATATCAAGGGAAAACCCAAAAACTTACATTCTGTTCAGATCAGGAATTTTTTTGTTGTCTGTGTATAAATATATAGATAGTTTGGGAATTGAGAATAATCAAAATACGTTAATTATACTGATGTATATGTTCAATTTATGGGCAGTAAAATGTGATAATTTCTATTTTGGACAAAGGTTGAAGCTCTTAGGAACATATCTCAACCTATAGTCATCAAATTCCAAAACCTTGTGGGAACATTTCATTTATTTCCATATGCATAACAAATATTCAAAGATCTGTACCCCAATCTCACTTTTTCAGAGTAAGTCAATCCAAATCCATTTTTGTTTAAACTTGAAATTTCCTCAGCTACAGATAAGCTGCGAAGAAAAATAGTCGACTTTTTATTTTCTTGTACTATTCCATTTGGATTTGGATGAGCTTTACCATTCAGAACATTAATCCTAACTTACATTCCTCGAATATTCAATAGTTTTGGTACGACAACATTTTCTAAAATTACTCCATCTCGCAACCGATATGAATTTTTAGACCAGGGCCGATAATTTTTGAAACCAACAAAATAACAGAAGGATGAAACCCAATTAAGAGGAGGGGATTATCATAAGAATGAAAGGAAACATTAATTACGGGCGATGTGAGTTCGGGAAGTGGGAGGAGGTGAGTTTTTAAGGGTAGAAAATGATTTATCTTGACTTCCGGCAAAACTACAAGTCCTATGGAAAAAATTCAAATAGCAAAGTTGTAGGTGATGAAAAGATCAACAACATTTGTATCCACAGTTTTTTCACACCACACCAAAATTTATGTGAAAAATTCAAAAAACCAAGTTTTTGATTTTTTATTTTTATTAAAAAAAAAAATTCAACAAAATTTGTTGAAAACTCACCTTTTTATGTCCCAAATACACTGTAATGTATTTCACCTTATTTTGACCTAATATCAAAAAAGCACCCTAATTTTCAATCGAAAATTCTGGCGTAAAAATATCAGCTTTTTTCAAGAAGTTGAGGTGATTTCTGTTCGGTTAAATCCCTACTTTCTGATGGTGTGAAAAAATATACATTACTATAATAAGTGTTATCAGAAAATGCAAAAAATCGAAAATAACTCGAATTCGAATTTTTTTTTCAATCATTAAGTACAATTTCATTAAAAAAATGTTATTGCTGCAATTCTTTTCAGTTGAAAACTTTATTTATTAAATTCCAATCAGATTAACGTCGTAGAGAATCTCATAAAATACAAATATATATATGTAAATCGTACTATCGAATTCAGATACTTCATTCTGATTGCGTTAATAATTATAGTATTTTTGAAAATGTTGTTCTTGTTATTTATGAATACCTCATTTTGAATTTTAATCACTTATCCATTAGTTTTTGTCTCTTTGACGGCATTTTTCAAGGTTAGATAAGACAAATCTTTCCAATTGTAGTTGATCTTCGAAATCTTCAAGACCATCACCTTCTTCGTCTTCAATATTATTTCCAGTCTGCATTGGTTTTTCATCTACAATTTCATCTGAATCATTAACTTCTTCTCAGGTTTTTCCTTCCATATTGGAGCAATTTTCAGAACCATGACAATTTGAGCACAAATTTGTACATTTTAAACCATATTTTGGACAGCCACATTTTAAATTGTTATGAATATCCAGTTTCCCAGCTGCAGCAAATAGTTTTGAGCAATACTTCCGGAATTAATTCCTTTCCCGTAAATTTCTGTTGCTGTCAGTTCGTTACCCAACCAATTAAAGTTGATTTAATTTTTGCCAAAAGATATTTTTGAAATTCAAATTGATTCAGTGTTCGTAGGTCACTCAGATATATGAATTATTTTGAAACAGCAATAAATAGGCATCTACAAATAATATTTGAAGAAGATTCTACAACCTTCTCAAAATATTGTGGATGTCTTATTAATTATCAACATTATTGACTATTGTGTTTGTTAATTACAGTAGTATATTTCGATTTGCAAGTTTTCACCAAATTTCGTGATTACTTTTTTTTGAGAAAGATAAAAAGAAAAAATCAAAAACTTGCATATTTGAATTTTGGGGTTATGTGTGAAAATTGTGTATACAAAAGTTGTAGATATATTTTATTACCTACAACTTTGCCATACAACTTTTTCCCATAGTAGTAGGACTTGTAGTTTTATCATATTTCCCTCTTTTTCTGATGTGTTTCATCCTTCTATTATTTTTTTCACTTTTTTCCATTTTTTAAGTCTTCAGCCCTGGTCTATTTGAGAAGGATCTGAACAAAATCGCACTCGCACATTTTTTAATTTTCGATCAACTTTCAGGCATCGAGTCCTGCGTGTACTGAACTGGAAATGGTCGTCATGAACTGGCTAGGAAAAATGATCGGTCTTCCAGAAGATTACTTGCATAAGAAAGGTGGAAGTGGAGGTGGTGTAATACAGGTACAAACAATAACTTTCCACTTGTAATAACCTGACGGTACATCATTTGATAATCTTTAGACCACGGCCAGCGAGAGTACTTTGATAAGTCTTTTGGCTGGGAGATACGAGGCGTTGAAGCTCTACATGGATCTTTATCCTGAAGCTAGTAAACATGAAATTCATGGAAAACTGGTAGCATATTGCTCGGATCAAGCCCATTCCAGCATAGAAAAAGCAGCTCTGATAGGTCTGGTGACGCTCAGGTACATCGAGTCTGATGAAAATTATTCTATGAGGGGACCAGATTTGCTGAAAGCTATAAAAGAAGATAGAGAAAAGGGGTTGATTCCTTTTTGGGTGAGTATTTGATACAAGTAACATTATTGTTTCGTTTTTCCCCTTGGGTTGACCAATAATAATTGACTACACTGAATTATCAAACATAACTTTATTTCACTTCAAATACAACAGATTCTCCAACTAAAACTACAACCATTATTTGAATGTCTATCGCCTTACTAGACTACTTCGCGTACCGCACTGTAACGTCCACTTGACTGTTTCAATATCCTCGTGGCTAGCCTTTAAATATCGTAATCGAATGTTGTTGAAATTTCTACGAAGTTCTGTCAAAGTCGGTAGCATTATTACCGCTGCTTCTCGATTGGCGGGGAATCATCGTGCTCTCGCGCGCTTTCAGCCACATCACGCCTGATTTATGACTACCAGCGGCGGCCGGCTTCATTTTCTTTCGGGTATGATATACAACATTATTCAAATTTGAAATAATTAGTCCACAAAAAATTGTTACTTATGTTGTTCAGGCGGTTGCGAGATTATAGCGCCTAGTCACTACTTTGTATGCTGCAGAATCGCTCACTCATGTCTGAACCTTTCAAGGGGAAGTCGCCGGAAAAATTCAGTTCACTTCTTAACATTTCTGATGAAGAAAATCTTTTGAAATATGTGTTACTAGAATTTGGGATTGATAGAGCTTCTTTGCATTTTCTTTCGTTTTTGCAGTGCGATCACGTCAGTTTTCCGTCTCCACCCATTTTTTTTGTCAAGGATTTCAAGCAAGGGTCATAATTTGTTGGTACGTTGTGGTATAAGGAAATACAGTTCCCTGAAGAAATTGAAGGTTGCCGATTGTGCCCACAAAATGTTAACTTCTATGTAGGTTTTAAGCAAACTGTTCTCAGTCTTGAAGCTCTCTATCCTTCAATATCTTCTAGTGATGATATCCACTCCACCATATGTCTCAGGTTATCTCTGTAAGAGATATCAGTGATTGAAAATCATTTAAAAAGCCGTAAACCATCATATACTCAAATATTTAGAAAGCTTCAACATCTTGAGCGATCATCAATATGGCTTTCAGAAACAAAGATCAACATGGCACCTTCTGTCGTATGTCACCCATATTTGGAATAACGTAATACAGAAACATGGAGAGTCAAGAGCTGTTGCGCTTGATATTTCTAAGGCCTTTGGCGGTGTGTGGCATAAAGTTTTGCTGGCCAAACTTTTATGCTATGGCTTATTGGATCATTTATATGTATGGCTCTGCAGCTTCCTGTAATAACGTTCCATGCAAGTGGCTATCGATGAATATCTCTCAAATATTTTAACCATCATTGCTGGTGTACCCCAGGAATCTTTATTGTCTCCAATCCTTCTTTTATTGTATAACAACGACGCATTGGAAAAAACTAAGAATCCAATATATTCATTTGCTGACGACAGCACAGTTGTTCCGTCATTCCATTTGGATTCCAGGATACCGGCGGCGGTTGTACATCTTTAATGGCAGCAGGAGATTATACATCTTCATGAGGATCTAGAAGTAATTTCGAAGTGGGGTAATCAGGTTCAATACAGAAACCCAGGCATCGGTTTTTTCCACCCCAGCAATTTTTGATGCTTTATAAAGCTCCGATCAGACCTTCTATGGAGTATTGTTCACATGTTTGGAGCTCCGCGCCTAGGCACATCTTGAAGCTGTTGGATTCCATCCAGAGAAGAGTCATTCGCCTGGTTGGAGACGCGAACATCACTTGCAACATGGATAGTCTATAAAATCGAAGAAAGCTTGAAGTGAAGATTTGTCTCTCTTCTAAAGATACATTCACGGGAGGTGTTCAAGTGACTTGGCACACTTGATTCCACCAAGAGCAGTACATACCAGGAATACGCGACGGACTGTAGCAGCTCATCTTTTTGATGTTCAACTCAGTACACTTCGGACTTCATTGTTCAAGAACTCTTCCATTTGAAGAACTGCGTTTATGCAGAATAAACTTCCTGAGAACGTATTTAAAAATTCATTTAATGTCCAGCGATTCAAATCCAATGTGAATCACTACTTTCGCACATGCACCGCTTTCAGAGCGCCTTAAGCCTGTAGTGCTTGTATTTTGCCTTGAAAAAGAGTATTTAGTAGAACTAAACATGTCGGCTTCTCCCAACCTTATACGCGTCAACGTTGACTCTCTGACGTCAAAAACTTATGAGAAGGGTTGCTAAAATTATCAGTTGAGTCTTCATACGAAATGGTTGAAGCTTTTCCCATCAAGGTTTTCAGTGTCACTTTTTCTCATGTTTAAAGGCCGTGGATGTCTGGAATTTCTTCCTAACGTTTCGCTAGCGCGAATGGCTAGCTTCTTCAGAAGTTTATACATCCTGAGTTGATATTTTTGGCACAAAATTGGCAGAAAATCATCGCGTAAAGTGTGAAAATATGTACGAGACGAGTGTTACAGCAGTCTTACACATTCCCTTTTATCAAAAAATCTATGAAGCCAAGCTTTAAAGGAAGTTTACCCAATTCGAAGAGATAAGGATGAAAGTTATGGAACCTCAACCTACTTAGGACAACCAACAATGATTATTAAAAATTTTCTGCACAACAAAAGTGTAAATATTGCTTTAAAAACCAACAACAACTAAGGCATGCACATTGAGAATAACAAAGATAAAAGTTCAGTTTCAGAAAAATCGGGAGTGTATAAATTATCATGTGGGTCATGTCCGATGTTTTATGTTTTATTTCCATACTCTCTGTTGGAGAGTATGGAAATAAACAAATATAAAAACTTTCAATATCTTATGAACGATCAAACTTAACCGAATAATTCGCCGTTATTAAATCTGTTTATTTCCATGTATAATTATGGTATTTTCGGAAATTTGATTCATTCATATAGCTAATGAATTCATACCTGATTTTTTCAGGTAGAATAATTCATTAGAAAGTTAGCGAACAAGTAGGTAATATGTTAGAGCATTAAATAGTTGTAATTTGGAAATATTAACGCTTCAGAAAGCTATTCTATAGCACAATATGTGTCGCGGTTTTTGTAAAAGCTTTAACTGTGAAAATCATACAATAATCTGTATTTATGAGTTTTAATAGGGATTTTCATGAAGTATCGGCAAATTCTATTCAATTAATTAGTTTAAGATTTTGAATAAAATTGGTTTATTCATTATCATGGATAATGTATAGCGCTATTGAATAGCAAAACACGTGTCGCGGTTTTTGTATTGATCAGTTGTAACATAACTATACGTATAATTGATTTATTTTTAACTCCATGAACTTCGATATATAGAGTGTGTACATAAATTCAACAGACGAATTTCAAGACGAAATGTTCATATAAATATGGGTCCGCAAACCCTTCGTTCTCAAGATACAGCATGTTAAAATAAAAAGTTATTCGTAAATATCTTAAATATCCTTTACCTAATTTTGTTGTCATTTGGCAATGGTATTTATAATATCAAGGAGCTAATTTAGCCCGAACGTGGTTCAATTCATCAAGTCCAGTGGCATCTCGAGCGGGATTTGAACGAATATTTTTGGCTTAAAAATGTACGCCACTGACTTTTGTACAATTTTTGTTATTTCTTTGGATTGAGCAATTAGAAATACCTACAATTTTTTTGTCTCGTGAATTTTTTTCGTATCTTACTTAATTCCATATTAAGCAAGATACGAAAGTCCCCATATTATGCCTCACAAGGCATAATATGGGGAGTTATATGTTTCTTTTGGAAACTATTATTTTTACAATTTTTTCATTACTAATTATGTAACAATAACAACAAATATTAAATAACATTAACATCTAGACCAACGAATTGCACTAAACTGAGTGTTGAAAATTGCCTCCTTCGGCTTCAATACAACCGTCTAGCAGCCGCATTATTGAATTTCGCACTCTTCTGAAAATACCTGGCGTATTTTTCATTATGTACATAAATTGATGATTTTATTCCGTAAATCCTCTTCACTTTGAATAGCAGTTTTGTATACCAACGCTCTAAGGTGTCCCCAGAGAAAATTATCTGAAGGATTCATTTCGGGCGAGCGAGGTGGCCATGGGTGTGGGCCTGCTCTCCCAATCCAGCGATTATGGTAATTTTCATCCAAAAATTGCCGTGTCACTACACTAAAGTGTGGTGGAGCACCATCGTGCATGTACCACATACGGAATCTTTCCATGACTGGAATTTCTTCTCATAGTCGAAGTAAAACAAATTCTAAAAACCTTCGGTATTCTTTTCCATTAACTCTAGGTGGAAGAGAGTGAGGCCCAATCAGATTGTCACCGACAATTTCAACCCAAATATTAAAAGAAAACTGTTTTTAAAAATTATTTTCTATCAAGGCCTGTGGATTGTTTTCGATCCAAATGTGACTGTTGTGGAAGTTGACAATCGACTTGCGAGAAAAACAAGCTTCATCTGTAAACAATATTCGACGTAGGAAACCTGGATTTCTTCTTATTTTACCGCGTAACCAATTAGAAAAAACTAGTCTTACATGCGAGTCTCTGGGCAATAGAGCTTGCACATGTTGCATGTGATAGGGAAATAGCTGCTGGGCTCTTAAAATCTGCCACACTGTGACATGGGTAATATTCAGTTCTTCAGCTATTTTCCGAGTACTGGTATGAGGATTTACTTCAATCTCATTTAAAACAGCTTCTTCAATTTGAACTGTTCGTACCGTTGCAGGCCTCCCAATGACAAGCATCGATCTTTCAAAGCTGCTTGTTTCAGAAAGTCGTGCATGGAGACGTACAAAAGTTTTTCTATTAGGCACTACACGCCGAGGAAATCTTTCATAGTAAATGCGTCTTGCAGCATTCGAGTTTCCGTGAGCCATTTCGTAACAGAAATGCATATCTGCCATTTCACTGTTAGTAAATTGAACCATGTTTTACAAAAATGGTTCGAAAAATAACCACTAAACACACTTTTTATAACAATTATAAATTAGAAGCTTATAAAGTTAACAACTGTCAAGTTGTTTATTAAATGCTGCAATCGTTTTCCAAGGTAACCCTTGATTATTATTTATGGTATTTTCAAAAGAGTGCGAAATTCAATGATGCGGCGGCTAGACGGTTGTATTGAAGCCGAAGGAGGCCATTCCCAACACTTAATTTAGTGCAATTCGTTAGTCTAGATGTTAATGTTGTTACATAATTAGTAATGAAAAATTGTAAAAATAATAATCTCCAAAAGAAACATTTAATTCCCCATATTATTCCTTGTGAGGTCCAGGGATGTGCAATTAGGTCGAATTTTTTTTTCTTAAAAACTAAGCAAGATACGAAAAAAAATCAGAAGACAAAAACAGTTGTATTTCTGATTGCTCAATCCAGACAAATAATAAAAACTGCAAACAAGTCAATGGCGTACATTTTTAAGTCAAAAATATTTGTTCAAATCCCGCTCGAGACACCACTGGACTTAATAAATTCAGTGTCATTATTTTCCTATATATTTCATTGAAAAGGACTCGAAAACCTTGAGAAACTCGAATGAAAACATTTTCAATTTCTCCCTCTAGGATAATCTACAACTTTTGAGAGTATACCGATGTCCTGTTCCTCAACAACGAAAATACACGCTTCGAAACCACCGTTCCCAACTTATTTTCATTTCGATCGAATTACAAATCCAAATAACAAGACTTGCAGCCTACGACAAATCAAGAGCTGTAAGACTAATTGTGCCCGTGGGATTTATGCTGATCACCACCGCATCATTTCAAGGAGATTGTTCCAATTAGTTATTTGTTGAAAGATATCTTCCTTGATGCATGGCTCTAATCCTTTTTCGAGACACTGCTTTCACTCGCTGACAGAAAAATCTATCAAGTGAAGTTCATTGAACAATATTTAGGTTTGTTCTGGATGACTGCGTATCAATTGAAATTTTGCTTTCCTGTTTCAATTCGACGGAGAGTATTTACATCAGAACAAAAATACTCGACTGGGATACTATAGTGTCAGTCATCTCCTGATGATGCTACCTTGGTTGGCGAACTTCGCAGAATCTGTTGTTAGGATTGACACATGCATGTTTGCCAAACTTTAAGCTATATACAAGTATATTCGATGTCAAACGGATCTGTTGTTTAACTGTATTTGCGAGTTGATGAATATATTTGCTTTGAATTTTTTTTTCAATGTTTGATGATTCCTCTCTATTGATGTGAAGAGCAATATGTTGTTTCGCACCCAATTAGTTTCAGTGTAAGAGGGTGGACAATGTTTTTTGGCACACCACAATACCTCTTGTTAGTGGAAAATGAAGATTTTGACTATCTACTTCCTCATCTTCATACAAAAAATGTGAGAATCTTCCAAAGAAAGGAAGAGAGCAATTAGGTTAAATATAAATTCTTCACGAAGATGTGCAGATGATGCAAAGGAGTAACTCACAGACACAAACTGGAAGAGGAAGCCCTCAAGAAACGGCTACTTTCATTTAAACATTAACCCAAAAAAAACTTTCGGAACTACTTTTATAAGAACATTGGATTACTCTAAACAGTCTTTATGGAATTGAATCAGATTTCATTCACAGGATTGCTACACAATATATAGGGTCTTTCAATGAGCGCTTTCTAAAGCAAAGTGTGTAGGTGATATTCGAAATTTTTCATTCATTCGAAACACCTATTGATGTCATTTTACATGGAATATAACATCGTTCAAATGTCCGCCACGGCTTCTCTGGGTGAAACATATCTAATTTTTCATGACTCTGGCACATAAATCAGTCTGAATTTGACCGATGGCATGGTTTATGTTGGCTTTGAAGAACACTGTGGTTTGCGGCTTATTGACTTACACCTGCGACTTGAGAAAACTCCACAAGAAATATCCAAAGGAGCCAAATCGGACGATCTGAGTGGCCAATTCACATCACCTCTACGTGAGATGGCCATGCCCTCAAATCGCTTGTGCCGAACATCAAATGTGGCATGTAGCGTCATCCTGTTGACACCACATGCCGTTGGTGTCCAAATCATCCTATTCAGGTGAGAACAAAATTGATAATCATTGACCTATAGTGCTCGCTGTTAACAATGATGGCCTGACCAATGTCGTTCTCGAAGAAATGACGCCGCCTCTCCAAAATCCATACCAAACAGTGACTTTTTTGAGACGCATTGGATGCGGTTGGATCTCATGTAGATTGGTGTCGTCCAAAATTTGACGATTTTTTTTGTTCATGAAACAATTCATCCAGAAATGGCCTCATCGCTGAAGATGACTTGTCGATGAACATTTTGGTCAGTTATTAACTGCTCCAAAGCCCATCCAGCGAACACATGTCGTTGTCTTTGGTCGTTTACCTTCAGTTCCTCGGTCAGTTGAATTTTGTACGGGTGCATGTCCAAGTCACGAAGAAAAATTTGTCAAGTTGTGGTCTGCGAAAGGCCGAGTTCTTGTGAGTGACGCGAAATCGACTTCGGATAAGGTGACCGTTGAATGGACGAAGCGCGCGGTACGTTGTCCAAACCGAACACCCATTTTGATAAACAATTTCATTATTCGCTCGTCTGAATGAATGACAACTAATTTGACAGATGTAACTTCAACAGAATGGTCGTTATCAGTTGTCAAAGTTCGGAAGTACCTGTTGAAAGACCTCGTTTTGTTTCATCAACATTGCATGATATTTGCAGCATGTTGTCCATCAATGGTTCAAAAATGGTCATCGTACTATCTGGGACTACTATCTTCCTATTGGATAGTGACTCTAAGTTCCGTCTAGTACTTCAATCTGTTCGTTAGTACCTGAAAAAATGTTTGACTACGGCGATTTTTCAGTATATAATTCCCAATGAAGACCGACCCCCAGTGTGCACTCGTAGTATTACTAGGTTAGATTAGGTCTATATGAGTGGGTCTATATGAGGATTTATTGTGGCTCACACCTATTCACACTCGGCGAAATAATCCCAACTTCTTAACGAAGCCGATTAGTTTATATGGTGAATGGTCTCTCGGGTCAGATGGTGAGAGTTTGGCTCTGCCGAACTCTAAAAACCTGATTCGGTTGCCAGCGGGGCAGGCATAAAGTATGTGCTCTGGTGTTTCATCATTTTCCAAACAGAGGCAACACATACTATATTCTGACAGTCCGAGCCTCTGCATATGATGATTTAAATGATGGTGAACTGTAAGAAGGCCTGTTAGACGCCGTAGTTCGTTGCTACTGTAGTCCATTCGTACTGGTGTCAATCTTGGAGTGAGCCAATCCTGAGAGATTCTGTCAGGAGCCCATAAATCTTCTTGCCATCCAGGTATTCAATCTTTGTTTGGCAAAGCCTGAAGCGACGCAAATGACAGGTTCTGGTCCGATGAAACTGCTTGCAGCACCCTCATTTGCAAGGGACTCAGCAGCCTCATTGCCTTCCAGGCCAGTATGGCCAGGAATCCAGACCAGAGACAATCTGTTGAGTGTTTCTAGCATAAATTTCCGCTTGGAATACAGTCACATAGGTCCCTAGACAGGTTGATATCTCTGTCCTGGGTCTGCGACTCAAAACACCTGCACCGGGACCGGAAGGTGTTTTTGATCTATCTGTGAACCAACAACTATCTGCTCTTGATATTTCCTTCTCCCGGAGGATCCAGTCCTGTCTGCTCGGGAACAGTACTTTATAAGGCAGTTAGTTCATTGTTACTGAAGGCTCTTTGAGATTCTCAGTTGATTTCAGACTATTTCTTAAGGTTTCCGAACTCACATCATATAAAATTCTCCCAACCAGGTCTGTAGAAGTGAAAAGTTCCATATCTTAGTATTTCATTTCTGGATCAAGCAATGTAGCAACTCCAGCTTTACAGTTGCTAAATAATGTCTAACACACATGTAGGCAAAAAGTCACTCTTCGAAACCTACAAATCAACATATCCAGAAAATAGGTCTAACTCACTTTTAAATATAATTAGGTTTAAAGAGTACTCGGTGTAGAAAAAACTCAAATTTATTGAAACATTTCAGGTATGCGCGACATTGGGAACCACGGGATCATGTGCTTTCGACAACCTGGAAGAAATCACTCAAGTCTCACAAAACGAACTGATGTGGTGCCATGTAGACGCTGCCTATGCAGGTTCAGCTTTTATATGTCCGGAATACAGGGTGTGGTTGAAAGGGATCGACAAAGCCAACTCCATAGCGCTCAACCCTTCCAAATGGATGATGGTTCATTTTGACTGCACAGCAATGTGGTATGTTGACTTGATGATTTAGTTTATTATTGGTTTCCAAATTATTCAAAGAATATAAAGCAATATGTCTATATTGACATGATTAGTTCCAAAAAATAATATGTGGGGTACCGCAAGGATAAATACTTGGACGTGTCTGTTATAGCTCTGTTATAGTTAGTTTTTGAATTATTGTTTTTTCCCTGCCATAAACATTGTATGTTTTTCAAGAAAAAATATTATTATTATTATTATTCTAGGGTTAAAAATAGTGGGGCTTTACATGGAGCATTTAACGTCAATCCTTTATATTTGACCCATGAGTATTCAGGTACGACTAAATAATAATCGGACGTTGAATGATGTTATTTACTGAGTTATTTTGAATAGGTCTGGCTATTGATTTCATGGTGAGTCGTACCAGCTAACTATAGATAGAAATTTCTACCAGTAAGTTATTTTATTCGTTCAAACATTTCATGAGCAGCGCCTTATTTCTTTAAGGTTTGAAACCATAACTTAATAAATGAAGAAAAATTTTACTTAGAATCATATTATTTCAGTTCTACATTCTCACCTATCGAATAACTTCACAACCATCATTTACGTCTTCATTGAATCTGCTCTCTGCAGTTGAAATCACTTTTACATACCGTTGAAATTAATCGTTCAATAGTTGCGTTTCAAAACTAGCTGAAATGCGTTACATTTTTGTATCCAATTTTTTTTTACAGTAGTTTTAATTTCGAATGTGTAACAGTAAAAATCGGGTCTCTTCATTGTACTTTACACCTCATTTACGATGTTTTTTCTTGATGTTCATTAACCATGTTTATTCTTGGAAATTGCGTTTTTTACATATTTATTCATTTTTTACATTTTTTTTTAAATCAGTTGATTTATGGCTCGGGTAATTGTTAATTGCTTCATTTAATTTTCACAGCACTGGCAAATTCCACTCAGTAAAAGATTCCGATCTCTCAAACTGTGGTTTGTTATAAGGAATTATGGAATCACCGGTCTACAAAAGCATATAAGGAAGGTAATATTCTTTATTTCTCCCAATAGTAGTTGGATTTTATCAATATTACTGGAGTTTTTTTCCCAACACCAACTCGTTATTTTCAACAACTCGACACGTGTTTCGATCACAAAATGATCACCTTCAAGAGGAAAATTGAACTGAAAACTTTGCGAAGCTAACCCTATTTATGCTTTACAGCTATACCATACAGGTATACCACACCTAAATTAATTTTACAATATGCCTCATCTATCACTTTACAATATATTCGTATGTAATGTTTAAATGTTATATCTAAATTTATTTTTACAATGTGCCCTTATGTAATAGTCAGGAAATCTAATAATATTTTAACATGCTATATAGTATGCTATTTGGTATTGGTCCGTCATCGTTATTCATAATATTATTATGTGTACTTATTTCTACAGTCTCATAGGCATCTAGTTGCCTGTTGTTGTTAACTTGTCTAGCTAATCTAAATGAACTGAAGTCAATGGAATGGTTTTGATGCAAAATATAATGGGCGACTGCTGATGATAGGTGTTCCTTGTATCTAACTTCAATGGATCTGTTTGTCTGTCCATAATATTTTGCATCGCAGAACTCACATTCAATTTCTAAAATTCCAGACTTTGCCGAATTCTCGACTTTTTCTCTTGGACTTCCCAAATCTTTCTAAAGTTTTTCTTGTATTGGAACTGAGATATATTTATCTGGGTTTCTATTCTTTCTTTAAGTCGAGATTTCGTTCATTCTTGACCTACAATATCCCTCGAGAAACCGTTAATGGCTGCTATATGCTGTATTGTACGTTTTTCTTTTGTGAACCTATCATGTGTTAGAAGGAAAGTCAAAAGACGATGCATTAAAAAATTCATCCCATCATGTCTGTGCTGTCCACAGAGATGTGAACTGTCAGGAATATACCTGTACTTGCTTGTTTATTTTCTAAATATATCGTATTCTATCCCTCCATCTTGGCTCCTCATTACCAAAATGTCAAGAAATGGTAGTTGTCCCTTATTTTCCAACTCATACGTGAATTTTATCACGTATGGATGGACATCTAGGAAACAAAGTCCTCACTCAATATTCGATTTTTTTGTATCAAATATTGCGAAAATATCATCCACATACTTTAGCCAAATCCTAGGATGATACTTTGACTTTTTTTGGTTTCCATTTTGAATCTGCTCATCAACAGGTCTGCCAGGTAGGAGGACAAGGGGTTTCCCATGGCCGTTCCTTCCTGTTGTTCACAATTTCATCAGTTGATTCGATTTGACAAACATTTTATCACACGGAAACAAATCAATATACAGAGTGAATTGCTACGGAATTTTTTTATTAATTCCGATACATGAAGGGGAATTGGAGGGATTGACTCATTTATCGTTGAAAAAGTTTCATTGAAGTGGAGGTTGTATGTGTATTAAAAATAATTACCATACCATAGTCAAATGAATGCTAAAAATATTCATCGCCGACCTTATTATCTTCTTGAGTTGTAACTCAATAATAATGATTAATAATATCATAATGATACATTGTTTATTATTTGTTACTAAACGAAATAGACATGTTAACCAATAGCAATAATGAATAAAAGGATGAGGGTTAGGTCTGTTGCTCCATTCTTTTACACTTTCCTAGCTGGTCAAAAAACTGGAAAATAGTTGAAAATAATACAAGAAGAGATGAAATTACTCCTGATTGTTACGAGCTCATATAATTAGAATAATAGAATCAAACACCACAGAAAATAAACAAAGAATATTTCTACAATTTTTGTTAAGGTGATTAATCAGGGTATCCATAATTATGTTCCAGAGAAGAGGTGATAAGACCCCTCCCTGTGGACATCCCCTCATGACCAGTCCTTTCACTGTGATGTCTTCTACATTAATACTTATTGCTCTACTAGAGAGCATCTTGAGTATCCATTCTCCTACTACCAGCGGTACATTTCTGGAGTGTAGTTGCTGGGTAATTGTTGGAAAGGCTGCTTTATCAAATGCTCCCTCGATATCTATGGATATAGACAGGGTGGATTCTTCATTTTCCAATGATCTCTCGATTCTGCCAACCACATGGTGAAGGGCCGAATCAGTAGACCTTCCTGGAGTATATGAATGCATCCAGTGGTCATAGATATATCATTTGGAGTAACCATTGATGTCATTCGTCATGGAAGTTTGTAAATTCAATCATATCAGTCCAGCTTTCGAAAACTGAAAACTCTGAAAACTGAGTATTTGAAACTCTTCAAAAAAGTTAAAATATTTCAGAACATCATTGGTATTCCTACGAAAAATAGTCACCTGCTTATCATATCTAAACACAAAACAAGCAGTTCCGAAAGAAGCTTTACATACAGTGCATTTCTTTGATGTCCCCCCACCCCTTTTATTTTTTGAACGGGTCAACTCAAAAAATTGAAATTTGGGATAATGAAATCAATGCATAAATACTTTATTTTGGAGTGAAATTTACAGATGAAACTTTCAGAAATTGAATGGAATGGGGGGTCTTATGATACCCCTTTTTGAAGCTCCCTAGACTATAATATAAATATCTTCAACTACTACAAAATGGTCAAACTTTCAATAATTGCCTGAATACATTGACATTCAACTACATAATATGAGATAATAAGCTTCAATTGAGATAATAAATTTCTACAAAAATTTTACAAGTGACTGTGGGAGTAGTACTTCTCTCTGAATTTTTCAAAATACATGGGAGTTTGGAGTTGAAGCGAAATTTGGTATATTCAGTAAATTAGAAGTGGCAAGAATCAAAAATGTTATTTTCTAACAGGTTATGAACATCAGTTCTGAATGTAAGTTTTCTGAAAAATATTCCGGGTTTTCAGTTCTGAGGCTTTTAGAAAAAAAGCAATTCGAATATATCGTGCGACGATTGTACATGCTCAAAATGGTTGAGATGGGAAGACATCAGTGTATCCCATTACATTTTTTTAGTTTTGTTGCTCATCACTGCTGATGAATTCCAGAGCACCATATGTTATTTTGAATTTCAGAGTAACATGTTCATCGAATCAGAGGTAGGTAGGTAGGTAGGTAGGACGGTAGACTGGTGGGTTGTCTGGGTGGTCAGCTCAGTCAAATCGACCACTGAGCGAACCGGTGGTTCGATCCGAAAGCCCGGCGATTCATTTTCACTTCCAACCCGTCTCAGGAATCACACGTTGAAAGGTAAGGCCTCGTTAGTCCTTAGCTCGCACAAGTTTAGATTTTTAAGAGTTGTCGTTCGTAAGGGGTACTACAGCTGATTACGGAAAAACAGATTTTAACAGGTTTTTCAACTCGAAACTAATTCTTGATTATTGACTTAAATTTTTCGCAACTCACATAGACGGTTCGTCTTCGAAGGCTCTCCAATAAAACACAAGAACTACAGGAAAATACCCGAAGCGCTCTGAGCGGTGCCTGTGTAGAAGTAATGACTCAGATTGGATTGGAATCGCTGGAAATTAAATCCATTTGGAAAAACGTTCTGAGGAAGTTGATTCAACATAAACGCACTTCTCCAAATGGAAGAGTTCTTATAAAGCATCAAAAGTTGCTGAAGTAAAGTGAAGCCGATATCCTGGAATCCAATTGGAATGACGAGACAAGTGTGCTGTCGTCAGAAAACCAATATATTGAATTCTTGTTTTTTTTTTCAATAAGTCGTTGATATACAATAAAAAGAGGGTTTCTGGGGAACAGTAACGTTGATGTTAGTGTTCCCGTCGGTGACATTAGACTTCGTCATGTATGTGCCTCCACAAAAAATCTGAAGGACTTGTTAGATGTTCGTTCCTTCACACATTCTGTGATCCCGTGTAGGTCGGTAAGTTTTCCAGTCTGAATTGGTCCACTTTCACTTTCCCAATCATCCAGAATGAAGTCGTTTCTGTTCTCAATGCAATGCTCTATTATCAAGAGATAAGTCCCTAGCATGCCTGTCCAGCAGTTTTTCAATTTTTTTTAATGCAAATGACATACTGATTGGTTCATTCCCTTTTGCAGCATTGCTGGTTGAATTCTAGCTGGTCTTGTCGACTTATATGGTCGAAATTAATTTCCAGCCCATTTGAATCCATTCAAATCTACCTCTTTCTTTGCCCACTCAATTTTTCCTGGACGACAGTTTGTAGGCCATCAGTTCTGCGATTCTTCAACACTCCGATGTTATATTTGTAATGTATTAACCGGGAAAGTGTACCTGGAGAAACTCCCGTATCTTCTCTCCTTTTCTTTGTATTTACTCCATGGTCTTTGTTTCTAAGTAACTCATCAAAACCTAACAGTATCTTTTAGAGTCTGGCACATACTTGAGTCTGTTAGACCTTCAAACATTGCTTCTTCCATGAGGCTCTTTTGGATTTCCTCAGGGCTTGGCACATTCAGTTAGGAGTCTTTTTGTATTAAACCCATACTTCTGAATCTCTGGTGTTTTCAGAAGCTTTTATAGTTTTTTGTCTCATACGTGCCAGACCTTTATTCCATCAAAGAACGTTCATGTTAGATCTCTGGTTAACTATGGAACAATGTTCATTTCACGCAGAAAGTATAGCTCCCTGTAGTCTGTATATTGCTAACCTTAGATCTGTTGAGTCCCTTATTTCAGAACCCATCTGATCCTGGCTGATTTCCAGGTCAGCCTTGTAGGCTCTTCAATCAGTTTTTCTGAGGTTATGATAGGATATGATGATATGATCTCGTAGTTTGAGTGTAGGTGATCTGAAGATCTTCCCCGTCAGACACACTCCATTTCCGAACATAGTTTCCTGATAATGCAGTCTATTGTTATGTCAATTGCTTACCTACGACTTGTGGATTTATTTCCTAAGTTCAGAATGTCTAAATCATTTGCAACCATAAACTGTAGGAAATGCTCACATGCTTCGTTGGTGTTAGAACTGTCCTAGGTGATGTCAAGGGCCTTCAGAGCCCTGAAAGCGACAATGCACATCTCATAGCAGGCCTTGAACATATTATCCCCCAGGTTCTTGAAAGATCTTCCATCTTTGAAAATCGCAGAATTTGACTTCCTTTTTTGTTCTGAGGAAAAGTCACCTTCCCACCCCCAGGGCAGAAATCCGTTTACTGAGGCATGTCACAACTGCCCCCTTCTCATATTCTTGACCTCGATCACGGTCAAGTATGTCTCCTCCCAAGGCCACACCAGGGTGCGGCCTTGGGAAGAGTGTTATCCAATTCATAAACCAGTGTCTCCTAAATCGACCTCAGGATGATGTCTATCAATGACCGCCATCCTGAACCCTCTAGCAGCCTCACTAAACGACTCAGTTTGATCATGAGAACTTCTGGGTTTTTGAAACCTCTCTAGGCTTCTCTAGAGAGGTTTCAAAAACTCCCCAGCAAAAAAATCGAAGTAGTCCAGGAGTTCTCATGAACATACTGGGTCATATAGTGAGGCTGCCAGTTTTTCCATAGATGTTCTTTTCGAAAAGTTCTGCTGCGGTTCTAGAGTGGTTCTTCAGTCCACGTCCCCTTAGCAATTTTCTCGTTTCTGAAGTTCGCCCAACTGCGTTCCTGACAGTCTCTCGTGTTGAAGTCCGACACTTGCCAGTCCTGCAACTGAGGTTAAGGCGGGACTGTCAGCTGCCGTTTGTGTTTGACTTCGCTGGTAAATTTGAGTTTCAGATCAGTCATATTTTGTGAGAAATCGTTCAAAGAGTTATCCCCATTTTTTTCCAGTTTTGCCTCGTTCCATAAAAGTCACACGAGTATGGTAGAAAAATTTTTCCACATCCATGTAACCCCCTGCATGGATGCAAGGCTGAGGAGTCTAGTAGGTCCCAGAGTCTCCATTAGGAATGGATCGCATAACACCACTGAGTCAAGTTCCCTATTCAGTTGCCTCTCACAACAAGCAAGGGTTAACGCGGACTCATCCGAACCCCCAGTGCCAAAGGGGTCACGGGGGGTTAGAACGACAAAAATCACAAGTTGTCTCAAATAAATTCATTTACAGCATTTTGATTCATGTCGTAGATCTTTTCAAAATCGATTGAACATGCATTGTTGAAAAAACGTATTGTTAACATTTCAAAGATTTAATTTCTGAACGAATGAAGTGAATCTCAGAGGCAAAGCAGCAGTGGATCGAGAATGAAACGCTTTTTCTTGAGAGGTATCACACGACTGTCATTCCGATTGAAAAAAAATGTAGAATGGCCTCCGCTTGGTGATTTGGATGTTTTGCAATGATATTTGAGTCGAAACTTTCCCTTCTTTCAATCAAACTTGGAAATAGGTTCCGTTGTTATTAGTTACGTCTTCCAGTACATTTTCCATGGCATACTCACATATAAAAATTCACTTACAGGAATACCTCCCAACCTGAAGGTGTTTTCAAAGCAAAAACATCAGTTCACAATTCTATTCACTTTTTGGATGTCTGGAATATTGTCAGTAACTCTACTTCAAATATACCAAAATTTTTTATTTCAGGGCGTTTACCTAGCTGGAGAACTTGAGTCTCTCATAAGAAAAGACTCTCGATTCGAAATTCCGGCAAATAGATATCTTGGGCTGGTGGTCTTCAGGCTGGTTGGGGACAATATGATCACAGAGACTCTCTGGAAAAAACTCAATGCCAGAGGTAAAATCCACTGTGTGCCAGCCAGTTTGAGAGGAAAATACGTAATAAGGTTCACTGTAACTTCCCCAAGAACGACCATGGAGGACATTTCGGCCGATTGGAAGGAAATTATGTTCGTTGCAGATGAGGTGCTCAGTGAAAAGGCGGCTAGCAGTGCCTCAAGAGCAAAAGTTCCACTCGGAGGTAAGCAATTCACAATTCACCGACGGGGATTCAGATAAGCGAAGAACCGTCCAACGTTTACTCTGTTTTTCACAGAAATTAAACAGAAAAATGAGAACTTCGGAACGAGTTTACTACTGTCCAACATCCCCACTTCCCCAAAAATCGTGAACGGGTCGTTCGCCGCAATTTACGACCAAGGAGATGTTTTGGACGAGTTCTCGAAAACAATACAGTTGAGAAAAGACGCGAAAGATAGTCCTGGTAAGGTTTTGGCTAAACCGAGAAGCCTGTGCACGCAAATTTGGTTTATTTTGCTTGATGTGCTCGTGAAAGTAGTTTCATTTCCTTTTTTGAGCTTTTAATGTTATCATTATGCCAAGGTTCACAGAGTTATTTCGTTTTCAGCAATGCGGAGAAGAATACGAGGGATATTGATGTCCGGAAAACAATTTTCTTTGGACTCTAGGTTGGACTTATTTCATGGAATTGAACCCAGTCGATCAGAAACGTTTGATAACTTTCCGTTGCTCGAGGATTCCACCGAAATTGAGGAGAGCAATTGCGGTTCAACAGGTGAGATCAGCAATTATTTAAAAGAAGTTTACACAAATATTGTGGGAAAGTCAACGTTTTTCAACTTTGCTGGGTTTTTATTCTTCGAGAAATTTCGAAAAAGATTCAGATCAATTATGAAAAGTAGAAACTTCAGTTAGACAGTAACTTGTGTTAATAGAGATCTCAACTCCCTGTTCATTACAGCTTTGAATCTGGGAATCTCTTTACTAGTTCAGAAGAGATCTTATCAGTGGAGTATCTGTTTCATCCGCTGAAAAAAGTCGGGAATATCATCTCCTATTGAGTTTTGAAGGTTTTGTAATTATTTTTCGAAAATTATTTTCTTAGCAGTACTATACGATGAGAACTCCCTTCAATCGTTCTATAAGGACGAATTCATTACTATTTACAGTTGTGATGATATGGATACAGTAACGGAGCAATTTCGCTGAGCAGTGATCTCATCCCCTCATGAGAACTGTCCACGGAGAATTAAAAGAGATAACCATAATTCTTCTAGGTGAACGAAAGCCCTGAAAAACTCAGAAAAGAAGTTCGCCGATTACTCAATCGAGCTGAAGAGTCTGCTAACTTTGAGCTTTATGAAAATCTCCAACGACATACAACAAGAAAATTAGGAAGGCAAAACGGGAATCTTGGAGGAAGTTGTGTGAAAGTATCTCTGATGTATTTGCACAAGAATTCACAAGATTTTCTCTAGAGAACCGACTGCTGTAACTGGGTCGCTGAAACGACCCGACGGAATATTTACGACCTCTAGAAAAGAAACGTTAGGGCTTCTGATAGAAAATAACTTTCCTGGAAGTTAGACTCTCGGTAATAACAGACCTCGCCCTTTTGAGGGTGCCAAACGGCCGAAAAAGGGCGTTCGCTTCATATGTAGGCCTCCTGAATAACCACCAGTATGCATATCAAACCGGCAAATCAACAGATTTGTAGAATAAATCTCCTAATCCCTTGACAACAAAGAAATTGCGGTTGCTGTATTCTCCGATATTGAAAGAGCAATTGACAATGCACTAGCTGAATCAGCAGGATCAGCCCTGACTGGAAAACGCATTGAATGAACCATAACTGGATGGATAAACTGCAACCACGACTCTTCAAGACAAGACCATAAGGTTCAAGGTCACCAGGGGCTGCCCTCAAGGTGGGGTACTATCTCCTTCTTTGTGGTCGCTCCTGATGGATAGCCTGCTTGATGCCCTCGAAAGAAGAAAAGTAGATCTACAAGCTTATGCAGATGAGCTTGTCATCTTGGCAACGTTCACGTTGGGAAGGGTAGCGTGTAATATCCTCCATGGTGAGGTTACTTCATTTGGAAATGAGGTGAAATATCATGGCTTTGTCTTCGATAGAAAACTCACCTGAAATGATCATTTGAAAAGAGTTTTACACAAATATAGACTGTCCCTAAGGAGATGTCGAAGGATTTGTGGTGAAACTTAAGGTTTAGATCCCAAACAAGTCCTTTGGATATATGTGATGGTTGTCAGACCAATGATCATTTACTTGGTGGCCAAATGCTTTGCAGAAAACGGTTCATGCGTAGCTCTCTGGCTCACAGAGACAGGCTTGTTTGACTATCTGTGGAGCACACCGTCAGCGCTCATGGAGATCCTTCTAAAACTATTATTATTATATATGTTACGGTTACAGTTTTTACTTGGCTAGTGTACAAACTAGTTGAATAGTATACAAACTATCCAACTGCCTGGTTATTTTGATGAAAAATCATATTTTCACTAAAATAGCTACGAGTAATGGCTGGTTTGTATACTATGCAGCTAGTTTATGAACTATACAAAATTTATCGCTAAAACACAAACCACAAGGAAATTACAAAAATTACCTCCCCTCCACATTTTTCTGGAGAAAGAGGCTAAATGGACTGCATATAGACTTGTGCACATTGCCAATTACACAAACAATCTGATGTAGAGTACACTAGACTGCTGGCTGACACTGAAAGTCACAGAATTTTGGAAACGACCTCTGATATTATGCCTTCAACTGTCAACTACGAACTGCCTTATCTTTTCCCGAGTGGGAGAGGATTGGATTCTCCGTGAGAATAAAATATTGGGAGCAGATAGTTGTTGGTTCACAGATGGATCAAAAACATCTTCTGGGCTCTGGGGCAGGTGTTTTCGGACAGAGATACCAACCTGCCAATGATGTCATGCGACTGTATTTCAAGCGGAAATCTATTTTCAGACTGTTTTGGCAGCGCTTCGGTTCAATTCGTAGAGAAAAATTGGTTAAAATCACGTAACAACATCAAGTAGTTTTCATAAAAGAGCTGTAAAACAACGCATTTTAAACTTATCATTTCAACCTTTTTCTTTAAAAAATCATTTAAATACTTAAAAAAGATGAATGAAATAATGCATTCAACATTTAAAGGGATTCTTTTCTATTTCACCATTTGGCAACATCGATTATAGCTAATAAAGGACAATGAATCTGTTACCTGTATGAGACAAACAAAGATGACATATTTCAGAGGCATGCTGCTCTGTTTACTTATGTTCTGAGTTCCCAGACATTCTGTGATATATGACATTTTGTGTACCTAACCTATCTTTCTCTATATAAATAAATAACAAAACAACTATTGTTTATGTGGCTTGTGGAGGTGGTATTGAACTATAATTTATATTTTGCCCTAATTGTTGATTCATAAAAATAATTTTCCTTTTTCAAAGTAGAATATCTAGGTACGCATAAATTATTTCAACTTGATATAGGCGCTGTTGACAATATGTGAATTAGAAACAAATCCCTTTAAAAATTAAAACCCAACATTTGATACATCAATATGAATACTTTTCGAAGTGAATTTGAAAAACTCATGAATTAAACTCAACTTTATTTTGTTCAATATTGCATTTGCTGTAATAACCCGAATTGAGGAACATTTCCCATTAGCTGAAAAGAGCAAAAAGTTGGAAGAAAATGAACAGCATCAATGTACACAGTACAAAATTCTCCATCAATCAGTATAATAATAATAATTATAAATGATCGTTATTCATTGACATACATTGTTTATTGAGAAGAAATAGATCCTTCAGTTGGAAGGACGAATTTTTTACACAAGATGAGGGACTGCCAATGGGTTCGCCACTTTCACCAGTCATAGCCAACATATATATGGAGTGGTTTGAAACTCTAGCCATTGAAGAAGCCCACAAAAAACCGCGAGTCTGGTTGAGATATGTTGACGACACCTTCATAATATGGAACCATGGGAATACTGCATCAGACGCCTTCCTGAAACACATCAACAGCGTGAGACCTTCCATCAATTTCACAATGGAGAAGGAAATCCATAACGAATTGCCATTCTTAGACGTATTGGTGAAGAGGACCGACACTAAGTAGGAAACATCTGTATACCGAAAACCCACTCATACGGGACAGTATCTGAACCACGAATCTAACCACCATCAATCGACTAAAAGAGGAATCATCAAGACTCTATTAGACCGTGCTTTTGGGCTCTTTAATATGAAGGAAGGTCTCGAGAAGGAACTAGACGTCATCAAAAATGATCTTCAACGGAATGGCTACTCCAAAGCGATGGTAGAAAAGACTTTGGCTAGAAGACAGCAGGAGCCTCGCAAGGAAGAGAAGCCGTCACAACCAGTGCTTGCGCTTCCCTACATCAGAGGATTATCGGAGAGGATAAGAAGAATTGGTTTCAAGTACAACATCAGAACCTGCTTCAGATCCGGTAACACTATCCGTAGCAGCCTCACGAAAACCAGGCCACCAAACGCGGACTGCGATTCCAAGAATTGCATTTGCTGGATACCCTGTGAGTGCGGAAAATCCTATATTGGTGAAACTAAGAGGCCATTGAATGTTCGCATTGCCGATCACAAGAAACAGAAACAGCGAGGGGAAACCAGCAAATCAGGAGTAGCAGACCATGTTTGGACCCATCAACACAACATCGAGTGGTCCCAAGCTGAGATCTTGCACATAGAGGAACATTGGTTTAGGAGAAAATTCAAGGAAGTCGCATACATGTTGTCCAACAACGTATTCAGCCAAGCCAGCGTAGAAATACGCAACATATGGAAACCCATCATCATGCGAAAAATGGCCAACTCCCGCCAAAACGGTCATCTCCCACGGAACCAGTGAAGCGGAAAATGGAAAGCGGGGATAAGTGAAAGTACTCGAACGACCTATAAATAGTCATCTCTCGGAGGAATCAGTCCAGTCATCACCCGAAGACGATTGTAGATACTAACAATCGAAACGTCGTGAACTAACGTGACTTGAAATCTCTTCACTTTTTATTTTTATTTTCTTTCTTTTTCCATTAATTTATTTTTATTTATTCAATTGTTCTATTTTTATTTGTATTTTATTTCACTATTATTTCATTTCAGGTTTATTTTGGTTAATATAATTATTATTTTCAGCTATCTCATTTTTAATTCTTCTTTTTTAGTTGTTTCAGGGATTTCAAATCATTTTATATAGTAGACAATGGAAGTCCGAACTAGTGAAATTCATAAATATACGTATTAGAATACATTTTCCAATCGAAATGATTGCTTTCATATAATATTATTCTGCTGGTAGAGTTAGATGTACCTACCTATCCCGAAGGTATGAATTGATTTAATGAAATGAACTGACTTCACCTCGTTTTGACAGTAAGTTTCTGAAGTTGAAGAAGTAATTTTGAAACATTCTGCCCAGAAATGTAATTATCCGCTTCATTTCAGAACTGCCTGAAGCTTTTTGAATGCTTCAATGAAATCAGGTAGTATACAATATTTCGAACTCTTCTTGTTTATTCTTAATCAAAATGACAATTATTTTCAGAAATCTCATTTCCCTCAGTTATAAATAGAACAAGTTACTGTCAAATTGGACTTTTCTTCTATAAAATTGTATTTATATGTGTTCTTCAATTTGCCTCTTACTGAAAAATTATTGATATTCATTCATTCATTTTTAAACAGGAAGATTTCCAAAATCCATGGTAGTTCGAGAAAATTATTACTTAAAATTTATACGTATTGATCACTAACTTTTTTGCAGAATTTCCGTATCTACAGTCTCCACTGAGCGACTCCTTAGATATAATGGAAACAGGACAGTCAAGATCAAAATCCGTTGATCATCAAATAGTTCCTTCAGGTTGTCTCGAAATCAACAAACAAGTTTGCATCAAATGCGGTCATCACGTCAATGGATATTCCTTAAACAATTAAAAAACCAGTTTGTTAATAAAAACGTAATGAATTGTAAGATTCACATTTACTGCTGTTGATAATAACTGTCAGTGTAAAATCAATTTCTGAAAATTTGTTATAAATAACTGAACGTAGTTACACATCATTCACTTTAAGGTTTTAGGAATCTATAACTATAATCAACAATTAGGTAGATGGTCTTCTCAATACCCTCTCGATATGGCAATATTTATCCTTAGCAATAGTGAAACTTTATTCAAAATATGATTCGATGAACTTTTGGACAAAATTACCCTTGCCTTGAATTTGTTAGTTGAGGTTTTGGAGAATTATATCGTCTGTATTTTGTTGTGAATTTCTCATTCAATGAAATTTATATAAAGGAAAAATCAACTGGTGAATGTTTGACTTCGCATGAAAATAAATGAATAAATGTTGAATATTATAATGTTTTTTGTTTCGGAAACATTTTCTGAGAAATATATCTTTCAAATATGTGAATCTAAAATGTAATTCATTATATGAGTTAATAAAAGTTAGAACTTAGATGTGAATGTTTGAATTTGAAAACCCTGGAATATATAATTTATTAGTTTGCTTTCTAGCATAGCTTCTTAAATTTCTTGGCAAGTTGACTTGAATATTACACCAATAGGCGTAAACTGCATTAACGCAGTTATTTTCACCAAGTCTTTTCTTGGTTATTCATATTTTGTCTTCAATAGAGGACCGCTTGCCCGGTACTGACGATGCCTCATAGGCTGAAACAGCTGTCTACCGGTGGCTCTTAATTTGAAATTTATATGGGAGTGATCAGAATAGTACTTATCTATTCATCTTTTGATTTTCATAGAATTATTTTTCAGGATTTTATCTGTATTAACCTCGATTTCATATCATTTATTCGTTTTCCGATGACATTCCAGGATAGCTTCCCAGATTTCTGCTACTGCAGTTGTCGGTTGATTGGTCAAACCACCAACATTGACATAAAAACTTGGCAGATTGACTTGGGTGTCACACCAATAGGTGGTTATACTTACGTCTCGCTTGCGTTTACGCAGCGCCAACATTCACATTTTGTTTTCAATCGAGGACTGCCTGCCCGGTACTGACGATGCCCAACAGGCTGAAACAGCTGTCTAACGATGGCTCTATATATNAAACTTTCAACACTGAACTAACAAAATATGTGAACTTTTAACATCAAATTAATAATAATATGAAAAACTTTTAACATCGAACTATCAAAATAAATACAAACTTTTAACTTTTAACTACTAAAATAAATGTAAACTTTTAACTAATTAAAATTTGAAAATCTTTAACTTTGCAATAATCTTATAAAAAAACTTATCATAACAATATATATATATACGGGTATTCAATATTCGATGGTCTATTCGGCATAACTAGAGGAAAAAAATGAGTGTTTCAAATTTTGGTTACCGATGTAGATGGTCTGGTGATACCAGACATCAACTTGAAAATTTCAAACGGGACACCCTATATATTACATCATTTTTGAATTCTGCATCGAAATCCAAATTACTTTTGTGAACCATGTTCTATACCATGTTCTATATTGAAATCAAATTTGGCTATGAAGTAATATGCATCGATATAGAAAATTGTAAACATCTCGAAAACGATCACCTCCAGCGATGTCTAGGAGGTGTACCTTTTTTAATTGGAAAAGGTGTGAGGATTAGGATTTTTCATTAAACGAACCAAAAGTTTACTGTCAAAAAAGTTAGGGCAATTTGAAATAAATAATGACAGCGTACGCAGCGTCTAGATGTTACATGAAAATTAATACGAAATTATGATTTCCCACGTCAAAAAAACCCGGGTACCGAATTTCGTGCAAATAACTTATTTTTTGCAAGAGTTATTTTCCAAAAGCGATTACAAAATTCAATTTCAACACCCCGTATCTCCGAAACGAAGCATTTTCGGGAGTTCATATAGACTTTTTTCCTTAAAATTGTCTCAGGAATACGTCACTTGAATATTTCAACGTACTTATTTTACATCCTGTTTATTGAAAACACTTCAAAATTCGACTTTTTTATGTAATCAGCAATTTCTCAATTGACGTTATTTTTATGCTACGTAGATATGACAGGAATGGAAATTGAGATAAAAATAAATGAAAAATTTAAATATATCATTACGTACGCAAGCAATTAAAACATTTAGAGTTCTGATAATCGCTTAGTTAAACAGATATTTACATTAACTTTTTTTTTAATAAGTATCTCAAGATGCACTCAACTCAATTACTTTTCCATGAATTATGAAGTGCGGACGTAAATGATCCCCTCCTCTCAACTGTTGAACAGATCGAGATATCAAATGAGGGGAATCTTCATTTTTATCACTTCCTTATGAAAAAGCCAGTGATGTGATAGAGAAGGTACCATGAACTTTTTTTTTCAAATAGAAATGGGTCTCATGACTTTTTGCCCTAGAGTTATTTCAATTCTCTGTACAATGACATTCACTGGTTCGAGAAGGATTGAAACAGCTCCATAGTAAGTCATCACAGGTTACACAAAGTTTGTAATATGTGAGACTAACGAACCGCCCCAGCTCCGTACGGAAATTTAAGGACATGGAGAAACAGTGCTGAAAAAATAATTTTGTTTCATAGACGTGCCTTTTTTCCCCTCGGCTGGCTCCCCAGTTTGGAAGCGAAGTTAAACGACCATTGAGAATGACGTCGTTCGGTGAATGGGCTCTGAAGCAGTTGACAGCTGACATAGAACAATAATTTTTAACGGTAAGGTCCATTTCTGGATGAATGGTTACGCGAACAAACGAAATTGTCGAATTTGGGATGATACCAATCCACACGAAATCCGTCCAGTTAATCCCAAAAAAGTTACTGTTTGGTGTAAATTTTGGGCTAGCGGCATAATCGGTACATATTTCTTTGAGAACGATGTTGGCCAGGCCATCACTGTCGATGGCGAGTACTATGGGTCGATGATTACCAACTTCTTCTGGCCTGCATTGGATGATCTGGATACCAACGACTTGTGTTTTCAACGGGACTGCGCTACGTGCTACACAGCTTACGATAATAATAATAGGGTTTTCATAAGCCATAAACAACAGTGGTCCTCAGAGCCAACATTACTCATACCATTGGTTAAATTCAGCCTGACGCCAGAGTCATGGAAAATGACTCGCTCAGAAATACTCGAGTGTATAACTGTGGCACCCCCGGAAACCTGAGGCACAAGGTCACCGATTTGTTTTATATGGATGATCTTAAACTTTATGCCTCTGGAGAGAAGGATCTCTATCAGTCTTTGAGGGTGGTGGAAGAGTACACACATGCTATCGGTATGAAATTCGGGATAGACAAATGTGCAATGTTCCATCTCAAAAGAGGGCGATGCGGGGACTATGGAGAGGATGTGCAGTAAATGGAAGTATCCTACACCATTTGGATGCCGGAGAGACGTATACTTACCTCGAGGTGTAACAACGCCACTCACAAGAGATAACAGCAGTGAAGAATTCTCTTCCCGGCAAGTATCAGCACAAACTTCAACAGATCTGGTCATCGGCACTGTCGGGGAAGAACAAAGTTGCTGCAACAAATATGTTTGCCGTTCCAATCTTACTCTACTCTTTTGGAGTAGTGAAGTGGACTCGGAGGGAGCTGTATCAACTCGATGTGAAGACCCGGAAAATGATGCGTCTCTATAGAAGCTTGCATCCCAAATCGTCCGTTCCATGGTTGTACTTCCCTCGACAACAGGGAGAACGTGGACTTTTGAGTTTGGAGTGTCTACATGACAGAATGGTACTGGATACAGCGTGTAAAGTCGTCAGGAGATCGGATCCCCTTCTCTGCATGGTCCGTGACCATGAGAGAGCAGAAATTGGAGCATTTCTCTTCAGGGTAGCTGCTGGAGCAGCTGAACGAGGTAACCACAACTCTGTCACCGAGTTGGAACCCGTTCAGCAAAAAGCTCAGATAAAAGCCGCAGAGATCACCTCATTTCTGCGGAAACACGAGGATAAGCCAATGCATGAAGTCTTCTTCAATAGCATTGGATACCTTTGCTTATCAAAGCGCCTGACGTTCGCTTTTCTCAGGTCGAGTGGGCTGAAGTCGGAAACTGAGGGGTTCATCATGGCTTGCCAGGATGGTGTCTTCAACACCTTAGTCTACCGCAGTCGCGTGATGGGTATAGACACAAGGTGCAGGGCCTGCCGCGAGGCGCCCGAGACTCCAATGCACTTGCTATCAGCATGTCCAGCATATGCCGTCTCGGCCTATATCCATCGACATAACGCGGCCCTAAGGGTGCTATATTACCATCTACGGAACTCTTGCGGTATTAACGAGATACCGGTGTTGCCCTACGCTCCGGGGGATATTGAATCCGTTGTGGGGAACGAGAAGTGCCGAATTTATTGGAGCCACCCTCAGGCTCATTCAAGCTAATAAGCCTGATGTAGTCCTTTTCGACCACCAGACCAAAACGATATTTTTTGTCGTGGAGTTTTCAGCTCCTGGCGAGACGAATATCGTCAGAAAAGAGAAGAAAAACGGATAGACTATCGAGATTTTCTCTTCGAACTCAGCAGACTGTATCCAGATCACTCTGTGAAGATGGTTGTTCTGATTATTGGTAACCTTGGTGGAATGATGTCCTCTCTACTCTCGAAGCTTGAAATCATACCGGCTTACCGCACTAAGGCAGAAATCTTAGCCGCACAGATGCCGAAGGCTGTCATTCTTGGCTCACTGCGCTTGCTCAGGGCACATGATTCTCGGACCTAATGATCACTTACCCCACGGTGTGGGGAGTGGTTTTTGGTTGATAATGCTGGCGCGCCCTCTCGAGTGTATCGGGGCTTCGGGGGATAGGGCCTGACCACCGCACACTACGGTGAAAAAAGAAATTATAATAATAATGTCTTTATTTTCAATGAAAAATAAAATTTCACATGATATTCGTCTTGTTACTCGGAAATCCCAAGGGGGAGCTCACCCGAAGGTGCTCTACCACTCAACCCTTGCTATTTTAAATATTCATAATATAACTTAAAGATTAACCTAACTAATCCTAAAACCTAAATTTATATAACACAGTTTTTGGCATTTGTTGGCATTTGTTGGGTCACCTGAATATTCACCACCAACAACAAAATGGTAGAAAAAAAAAAGTTTTATGGAAGATAACGAAAAATGACTATTTGTCAAACACAGATTATAATAAAAGAAAAAGAAAAAAAGGGGGTATACGAAAGAGAAATACATCAGGATGTGTTAACTTGCAGAAAACTAAATTACTATGGTGTTTTAGCGAATCGGGAATAGAATTATGAAAATGAAAAATCGAATACGAAAAACTTCTCTGGAAAAGTGAGGTATTGTGTTGTGGACATATGATTACATGTTTGTTTCTCAAATTTATGTTGTGTACGTCTGTCCTGAATGTTATTTTACGATATAAATAAGGCGGATTTTTGTATAATATAATTTTATGTAATAAACATATTGAATGAAAATTGAACTCACCTTTCATGTTAAACCAGTTCAGTTCCGCAAGCTTGTGGGACACATGTTCATACTTCCTTATTCCATATATATAACGAATACAACTAATACAAGAGTTTTGAACACGTTGTACTCTGGACCAAGTATCGTAGTCAAGACAAGTTCCATAGACCGGAGAACAATAATTGAATTGTGATAAAACTAGAGACTCGCATAACATTTTCTTTAAAGGGAAATTGGGGTACATTTTGTGAGGATATAGTAATCTTAGTGCACCATAGGCTCTTTGAATATTCCGATTGATATAATAATAATAATAATATTTATTCATCCATGTTGCATACAAAATAGAATTAACATCTTGAAGGTAATGATGATTAAATTGCAAATCCACTGAGGGTTAAACCCTGTGTGTGGTTAAATTAACAAATACAAAAAATAAAATAATCTTACAAATAACACAATCACAATTACTCACGTAAAACAATTTGTTGTAATAGCTAAAAAAAATAAAATATAATAAAATATTAGAAACAAAAAACCACATACAGACAGATCACGGAAGTTCATACTTGTTTGTGAAGATAACAAATATTAAAGTTTTACACATTATACATAGGTAGGTATTGATAAACTAGGGAGATACAAATATTGACTAAATCAATAATATGAAATATATAAAATATACACAATAATATACAGGTATTGAGTGGAATGCAGAAAGGGCCCCAAGTTCATATTTTACTAGTGTGAGGTTCAAATTTCATGATTTACAACTGTTATCTTTTGTCTTGTGTTATTGGATCAAATTAAATAATGAAAACTTTCTCTAGGTAAGTTCTTTATAAATCTGACTAGTTTACTTTTGAATTGGTTGATATTACGTATCTGTTGAATATTCGAAGGTGAGCTGTTGTATAGTTTTGGACACAAGTATTGATGACATTTCTGGCCCACCGATTTATGCACACGAGGACATTGGAACTGCTTACGATGCCTAGTACTATAATCATGGGTAAGTGTCACTAACTGATTCTTGTGTTTATGTTGTCTTATGTTACAGTTTTTGTAATACAATTTTCTTACATCTAGTACTCCCGATTCTTTATAAAGTGTATCACTTGGATACCTCAAGCTCTTAGATAGCATCAGTTTTAGAAATAGTTTGACTTCAAGAGAATGGATGTGACTTTTAGATATACATCCCCATCCGAGTAGTCCATAAGTGATGTTACTTTACAAAAAAAATGGTAGCAATAATAACATCCGAAACGAACACTATATTTATAATGAAAATTGAAATGAAGTAAGTAATTTATATACACAAAAAAATTAATTGTGCAATAAATGTTCGAATTGGAGTCCTTTCATTTCGAGACAAATAATGGGACAATAAGATGGTCTGCAAGATCACCAGATCTTACTATTTTGGACTATTTTTTATGCGAGAAATTGAAAAAAAGGATTTACGCTGGCAGAGAGATAGAAAATGTGGAAGACTCGATATTGAGGATTTTGAATGATTTCGCAACAATGCAGCAAATAAGTGTATTAGGGGCAATAAATAATAAGAAAAACCGACTTTGAAAATGTCTTGAAGTGGAAGGACTCCAATTCGAACATTTATTGCGCCATTAATTTCTTTGGGTACCTATATAAATTACTTCATTTCAATTTTCATTATACAAGCGGGGATGATTCTACAAACGTGTTAGGAATCACACGTTAAAAGGTAAGACCTCGTTAGTCCTTAGCTCGCACAAGTTTCTCAACTTCTGAGAGTTGTCGTTCGTATGGAGGCGACAGCTGATTAACGGAAAAACAGATTTAAACAGAATTATAGTGTTTGTTTCGGATGTTATTATTGCTACCATTTTTTTTCTGCTTATTAAAACACATATGATATATTTTTGATGTAGATATGTTTCAAATAATCATGAAAATGCTCAGAGCAATGAAAAAAATATAAATGGGTACCTGAAAATGAAAAAAACTCTCGAAAAATTTTTCGATACATAGGGAGACGTGAAAGTTGCTATTATGTTTTTATTCAACTCAGTCAACCAATTTCCAGGGCCGTAATTTAAAAGGGGATAATTCACACAATTATAATCGAATATTACCGAAACATTTCGGAATATGAAATTGAATTTAAATTTTCTGTATGAAGTGAACGTCTAAGATCCAAAAACTACAACAAAAAATACAGGTCCGTATTTAAAAATTCAAAGATGGGGGTGTATCAAGTCAGATGACACCCTGTATAAAAGATTAATGGATATATTCTGAGAGCCCACATCAAGTGCCAATAGCAAAATGTGGACAGATTTTCAATATATCTGCGAATAACGAAGATATAGGCAAAAAAATAATTTGGGATTTTTTGGTTTTTCCTGTATATCTCCAGAACCAAAAGAGCCATTTCCGATTCTTCACATCATTGAATGGGTCTCTAGAATACACAACTTTGCCCCAATTCAACCAACAGTCTATCTCTTATCGTTTACGAGATCCCCATGTGCAGAAACGAATTTGAATAGCCCTGTATGTTCTCTAAATCATAACGACTAATCTGAAATTGAACCAAAATTTTTCGTATTACTTCCAATTCTAATTACTTCATTATTCAGGTGCAGTTTCAAGTTATTTTTAACAAATGATGTATGAGCATTGCTTCCAAATACTAGTGCTACTGATTTTTTTGGATTGAGCACAAGGGAATGCATTTGTAGGTGTTAAAAGAGTAAAATGTGAGAATTCCATGTTCTTTGAAATTATTACAACATGTTTCTCTATAGTCTAGGCCGAACATCAAATGTACAATTCTCTTTTGAGAGATGAAGACCCTGTAGACTTACACTGCACCACCCCATAGAATAATATTATAAGAAATGTGGGAATGAAAAATAGCATAGTAAATGCTGATCAACTGAGTCGTCAAAAAAATATTTTTCAGTTGCAATATAAATATAGCAAAGTAACTACTATTCAATTTCTTGCAAATGTGATTGACATGCTATTCCATCTCATATTATTGTCTCCTAGAAATTTGGTGGATTTCGCGAAAGGGAATTCACTATCATCTACTGAGATTCTACTATTCTCAGATATTTCATTTCTGGTGAAAAAGTGCATATAAACTGTTCTAGCAGAATTTACCGTCAGAGAATTTCTCCCACACCACGTGGTAAGTTCCTTTGCCAGTATATTTATTTTTCCAATGAGCTCTTCAGACGTTTCTGCTTCCGCTGCTTAAGTGGTATCATCAGCATATAGAATCAGGTGTTCAGTGCTGACGTATTTGAGAAGATCATATAAATATAGTACAAAAATTAGCGGACCACGAATCGATCCTTGAGGTACACCAGCTTCCACATCATGTGAGATGTGTTGTAATATTAGTATTGATTGAGTCAAAAGCTTTCGACAGATCAAAAAATGAAAAAATATCTCACACACACTTGGTTTTTCTGAATTTGAAGATAGGAAGCATCTAATGAATGACCCATTAATAACACCGAACTGAATATCAATAATTCAGCCGCACCAAGCTTCACATCAATAAAGTTTGTTGTGAACAAAGGGGTACGAAGCCTTTTGAATATTTTAATGTGAAACAATTCTTAGAATAATTTCGATAAAAAATATCATCGAACTATTGGAATAGACAAAGAAAGTTAATAACTCGATTTACATTGTCAAACTCAATGCTATTTCCTAATGGAATGGTCTTCACGGTTCGTTAACTATAATAACCTAAATGTAATTAGTTTCATCCCACCCGTTGGCCAAAAATAAAGACGACCGTGGTGTTCCAATATTGTTCAATAAAGTATATCATAGTTATTGAACTGTTCCGAAGAATTACGTTCATCCCAAGGAATTCTTGCGATGTTTCCGATCTTAATTACATGGTTGACAGTTGCCTTGTTTATTCTGATGTATATTCTAATTTTGTTTTTAAGACGACTACAACGACTATGTGAGTATTATTTCCTAGTCTAATCAACAAGTTCAAAAACATGAAAAATAGAGATAAAGGTCCTAAAAATATGAGCTCATTCAATTCGGAATCACCTCTAGAAAAATGTTTTCGAAGAATTTTGGTGCAGGTAGAAAATTGCATAATAAGATTAAAAAAATGGTATCTAGTTTTTCGTTAATAACTCAAAAAATATTAATATTTGAGCAATTTTGAGAAAAGCTCAAGTGTTAGATTTTTTTCAAATTTTTAAAATGACATTTTATGTTATAAAAAAATTATTTCTTTTTATAAACTCTCTTTAGCGGCAGCGTGCTTATGCCGTAACAGCCGCGCGGAACCCAATTTTCAACGTCAAATTAAAATTATAAATAATGGAGATAGTGTTTTGTGAGTCAATACTTTTTATCGGAAATTTCCTCCTCTTCAACGAGTTTTTTCAAAATTGCTCAAATATTAATATTTTTTGAGTTATGAACGAAAAACTAAATACCTTTTTTTATTCTTATTTGTAAATGACAATTGCAATTTCTTACCTGAACCAAAATCCTTCAAAAACATTTTTCTAGAGGTGATTCCAAATCGAATGGGCTATCGCTCATATTTTTAGGACCTTCATCTCTATTTTTCATGTTTTTGTTCAGACTATTCCATTATTAAGCGTCCTTCGTCTTCTATATACAAAGTGTTTTCCAATTCAGTTGACGTCATCAATATACAGATTTAATATTTGATAACGAATCAGATTAATCTTCTCAAAGTGATATGCTACGACAAATATTAAATTTACAATGATATATTAATTCCAAGAATTACTTTCAATTACGTGGGTTTTCCTTGTTGGAATTTTGAATCAGTGATTCAGACAAGGATTTGATAGTGAAGAAACATTACTTCTATCTACGAATCTCTTTTCAAAAAATTCCATTACATGACTGTTTTATTCAGATAAAAATTGTTACTTTGAAAATATTTTCACTGTTTCTTGCACTTTTCCGGAATTTCAACTTCCCATAATCTGGGAAATATACAAATTGATATCAATAGATCATCTGCCCAAGTGTAATACGTATAAATTATGTTGTGAAAGTATCAAGAACCGATCACTCAAAAAGCCTGCGTAGAGGAGTTGTGGAAATTATTTTTGTAGCTCGGTTGGCACAATGGAGATATATATGGTTCATCTCCATGTTTTAGACGTGCTGTCTCATAATCTGACGATTATCTAGAGGGATTCGCTTAATCTGACAAAAACACTTTTTTTCATTTTTTTTTTTATTCATTGAACTCAATTAATCGAGAAGCTCAGGAAATAGCATGCTAATGAATAAGTGTATGTTTTTTAAGTAGAATAGTTGTATTTATGAGAAAATATTTTTTTTAATGATCAAAAAAAATTAATTTTTCATAATCAATTGATTAATTAATGGAAAAAAGAGAAATGGAACTTTCTATGTGTTTTACCACTTTTATTTGTAACTAACGTTACTGCAGTTTCGTCCTATAAGGACATTTTAAAACTTATATATTGTATAAGTTTGAAAATTTCCTAATTTTTCTTTTCTTCATTATGATTTCCTACCACGTAGTAACGGCTACATCCATCAATTATTTGATTAATTAATCATCATCTTCATCACGAACGAGTCTCTGTGATCAGCTGTGATGGCGTCATGGCAACAGAATTCAGAGTGGGGACGGAGTGAGAGAGTAATAGATAGAGAAAAAGTGAATAGAGAATAGAGGAATAGAAACCCGGAGAGGGAAATATAGGTATCACACAGCTGCACGCATTGAACTTTATCGACGGATTTTTGTTATTTCGGCTTGCGGAAATAGTTAGAATATATATTTTTCGTTATCCTTGAATTATTTCCTTCATAATGGAAAAAAAATTGCTACGCTCGAGAATGTCGAAATGACGTTATTTTTATACAACTTTGCTGCCCTCCCCTTTCTTTACGTCACTCTCAAATTGTCAGATTACTGGAATATACACTTTTTAGCATGTAATTAACTCACCCTATCTTAAT